TTCACAGTGTGTCAGTATAGTTCACTGTATTATATTAATATTTTATTAAATAGTATATACTCTACTGTACATTACTAGAAATTCAGCCTGGAATTCAATTCCTTTAAAACTGGAATATCTGACACATATTCAACTCTTATGCACATTGTTGATGGCTCCTCTTTCCCTTTTTCAAGTCTCTAAAATAATCCAAAGTATTTCTTTCTCTCTACGTATGTCTGTTTCTGTTTAGTCGGTGCTGAAAAGGTTATCTGTTAAATGAGTTTTGTTACTTATAAAGGTGCTAAGCAGGGATCTGTGAGTAAAAGTATGCCTAGGGACAGGAGGGCTGTAAGCACTTAATGATTTTATTGAATTAATCACATGAGCAAGATCACATAGCAAATGTCAAAGGCACAATTTCAGTGATCCCAGACCATCGGAATGTCAGCTGAATCCCATGAAAGCATAGACGACTTCAATTCTGTTATTCATCTGTGGGGAGAGGTTTCTCCCCTTAACTTAATTAAAAATTAATATGAAGCAGCCACCTTTTGTTTTAATCCCTCTGAGGGTCTAAGGTGCAGACAGAACTCAGGCCATTTCCATTGGCACCCGATTCACACTGCTGTTTGTAATAGCAACATTGACTAGCTGGGTTTTCCCAATGTGATGAAAGACGGGTTCAGCATACACTGCGATTTAATCTTAGAAGCTGTGTCAGCCCCATTGGTCAGATTAAAAAGACTACCCACACCAATGGTGTTGCTCTTAATCTCACAGCTATAATTGCTGAAATAATAATAAAATATTGCAAGACACGTACAAAATCTCTTCGGAGGTACTGTAAGGGAAAAATGCACACGTATATATTTGCATGTAGGCTGCAAATTAAAAATGAAAAAAAGAGAAGGCTCGAGAATTAAGACCCTAATGAAATACGGAAGACACAGACTTCCACAGGAACTTGGTGGCTGTAGGCACTGGTTCTCTGTATTACTGAAGATGGTTTGCAGGGACATTAACAATGTAGCAGTGTGTTCAGAAAAGTCTCATCATGCTTTACATAAAACACAAATGGACCTACAATTCTTGTAATAAATGTCATAAAGCAGTTCTTCCTCACTAATGAATTGGTTACCACCATGCTGGACTCATAAAGGTTAATAAAGCACCCTGGAGCTCCAGTGTTTTAAGTGATATGTGGTGTATCTCTCCTCCCCTTTGAAGAATGAGTGACAAGATAATCTTCCAGCTGGGTGGTCCCAAGATGGAGTATCCTTGGCATCTTGAAATGGTGGCTGGAACGTTTTTTTTCCCCATTTCAAAAATAAGCTTCAAAGTAGCTGGTCATGTGTGAATTGAATTGTTGACTGCCACTGTATTTAAAAAAAGAGGTATACTGTAACAAGGAAAACACTGGCACTGGTTTTCCCAAGTCATTTCATCTGAGTGAATAAAAGTGCCAATGACTCTTTGGTTGTGTTTTTTTTATAAAAAACAATTTATTTTTAGTTACAACTGCGTGTTTAAGGAAAAGTATGAAGATTGTTTCAGTCAAGTCTATAACAAGATCGGTTTCGAAATGTTGTGCTTTGGCATAGATAAACATGACGCAAGGTAAATTTGAAAAAAATTCAGAGAACCAGTTATTTTGATGTAAGATTCACCGACAATTTGTACATTTTCACAAGCCAGATGTTTCAGGCATATTTAATTATTCTGTAAGCGAGCTCTCAGATCCAGTAGGCCATACACTTGCTGGCAGTATGCAACAAGTAGTAAAACCTGTAACTGTTTTTGGACATTAGGCTCCAGAATTTCAAGTGTCAGGTTGTCTACCTGCACTTCTATCACACACATGCTGAGCAGCTGTAACAGGAGAATAAACATAAGACACCAGGCTCAGAACGTGAAGGAGACCCCTTGGAACCATCATTTCTGCAGAAGCATCTCAGCGGAGCACAATGATGAGGTAATAGAGGCCGACCACAAAGAGACCGGAGAGATTCTTCAGACACACAACAACAGGAGCCGGACTCATCATTCCTGGGGAATTTAATCAGGACCTGCTGTAACCACACTGGAGAATTACCTCTCCTGGCCTATTTCTCCTTTCCACATGTGCACAACATGGTGCTTTCATCACGAATGCCATCTTCCAAAAGGCAGACGAATATGAAAATACGTGGATTACACATCATAAGAATATGGGAAACTTAGAAATGACATGTTGCTAAGTGATGCCAAGTGCTCGCTGGATTAGTTCAATACGAGATGATCCTGCATATCAAACAGAGGAGCTCGGTGCAAGACAGCAATGTGAAAAAAGCTTAACCTTGTCCACATCAATTACCAGCAAGTCAGAAAGCAGCAGGTAGTAATATTGAAGCACTTTTCATGATGCTATACACAGCACTGATGCTGAAATTCTCAGGAAACACAAGAACCGGTTTGATAAAAAACAGTGCCCAAATTAATTAACTATTAAAGCAAATATATTTTGCCTAAGCCATGTATATTGCTAATAGGAAAAAGTCAGTGAAAAAGAACCAATATTGTCAAGCATGGCAAAATGTATGTCTGTCCTTATGCTAGTCACAGAAAAGCAGGACCTTCAGAGATTTCCAAAAAGTCTCACTCTATGGATCGGCTGAAAATGAAACGCACAATCTCAAAAGGCAGTCCTGCAATCTCTGCCCTCAGAAATAAAACAATCCCTGTGAAAACTGGTGCATCAGTCCCACAGTGCATTCAACTGACCTGCTATGTCACTTCCAGCTCATTCTGGCCTAACGTTCATTTTGGTCATTTTATCTTGTTGTGTTTATGTGACTAATCCTTGTGCCTATCCAATTATTGAGCAAAGTGCTACTTATATACTGTATAAGATACTGTAAATGGCCTTGGACTGGGCTGTCAGCTTAAGAAATAACTCCTGCAATGAGAATGAGACTGGGCTTCTCACTACAGGCACGAAGCATGCTCACCCATTATTGAGCTTACAGGATGAGTGGCTTCCATTCTAAAAATGAACCCAAAAAATGTGGTTTTTCTCAGCCTGCCAGGTGCAGGGGAAATACAAAGCAGAACACAGAGCTAGCAGTGTCTACACAGGGTGTGCGCCATTAGATGGAATGACAAAGTCTTAAATATCAGAGATTTCAGATGTGTCAGATCTCCAGCAGACATACTGGGTGCTCATCAAGGCCTGTCTTCACCAGCCTGCTCACGGAGTGGAGACAGACAGCAGCAAGATTCCCGGGGCATTCCTCTGTATCCCAGTGAAAACAGGATCCCATTCCCTGGATAGGCACCTAAAGGGCTAATCCTGGAGCTTGGGACACAGGTATGAACAGAAACAAGTCACTGACGAACTGAGTGCTTCTAAAATACTGCTACCCCTAATAATAATATAAAAGCAGATTCTGACCTTGCAAATGAGATCTTCTGTGCAGACTGAGACATGTACTTGTGCAGACGGGTGAACAAAGATTCATATTTGAGTGCCCACATATTGTGACGATTACACCGTTTTGTGTAAAATTCAAATCCTAACCCTGGACAGGGCACTAGTCCATCACAGGAGACACACACACACTATCACAAACACTCAGACACAAACAGAAACATACACACTGACACATGCACAGACACATACTGAAACACACACAAATAGACACACACAGAAGAAACCAGAGCACCTGGCAGAAACCCACATGAACACAGGGAGAACATGCAAACTCCACTCAGACAGTACTCCAATAATTGAAGCGAAGGCTAATGAGGCTAATAATGAACTAGAGCCAGGTGCTGCTTTTATTGTCTGATGTTCTTTATAAGATCAAAAGATTTATGATGCAGCTCAATTGAGAGACTAATAATAAATGCAAAAATTATAAAGATTTTCTAATACATAGATACATGCACTACAAATGGATTTTTTAATCCTTTGCTCAGTCTTTGTATCCCTTCTCCACAAAATGCAACCACAACCCCCTCATGGCATGTTCTGTTCTGGTCTTGGTAAAATCAAACGGACTGAGCTTTTTTTCAGGCGTAACACTAACCGAGCTTTGGACTGTCAACAAGATTGTAAAACAACAGTAGTGAAGAGATGTGCGATGGATATTCTAGAAAAGAGAGAAATCCTAACTAAGTCTTCGGCTACAGAGGGGCTGAAACGTTAACTTTTCCATTGGTCCCTGCTGAATCAACGTTTTAAGGCCAGGCCGGGCTTCTGTCCAGAGCTCGTGTCTGTTGTGAGGTCATGATTGACACTGAAGTCAAAAAGTACAATGTCTCCATTTATAAGCCCCTGGCTTGGTGTTAAACAAGAGCTGTCTGGTCCTGTTTGTTCACAACTGCAGCCCAAACGTGCACATGCTTCACATGCTACCTGCAACATGACCACAGGAAGTCAAGCACCAGGGAACCATTTATTATCATAGACATATCTCTGGAGTGTCTCAACTCATCCAGCTTTTCATAAACTGTCATTTTAAACCGAAAGGCTTCCAGCTAACCGGAGAGTCATTTCCAATTAGCACGGAATTGGTCTGTCTTATCATGTGAAATTGAATAAAGGTATTGTTCTGCATCTTTATTTTACCCCTAAACAAATTTTTCCGACGTTAATCTAGAGCCTCACATCTGCACCGGATTAGCAGCCCCTGAACAGCAGGTAAATGGAGTTATGTCATATACTCACACGCCAGCGAACGGATAATGTTATTGACATTAACAGCCGATTTAATCTTTCCTAAACTAAACATTCCGACTGAGCTGCGCGACACGGGGGTGTCTTAATGCCACGTTCACCGCCGTGCACGTAAAACTAAGACGAAATGTTAGTAGTGCACGTTGCACTAGCTTTTTTGTTTTTGTTTTACCTGAAGGCGTTGCCATGCCCGAGTCCTCCCAGCAGATGTCGCTGTCGCAATAGCGGCGGCTCTTTCAGCACAAGAGGCCCCTCCCCACCGCGGCGCGGCGCTCTGATTGGCCTGTGGCCGTTGCCAGGGGCGACCGCTCGGCGTCCCCGCAGAAGTGTACACTGAGTCTGCGAGGTGGGCTGTCGGACACGGCCACCCGGAGAAATCCCAGGGAAAAAAAAGGGCGAAATCTAGACAATGAGCACGTTGTATAAGCGCGTCTAAGTCGCGACCGAGGAGGCCTCATGCCAAAGAGGGTAAAAAGCAGCTCTTCCTCGGCGGGCGCGGCGGCAGGCGTGAATAAGGCCTGGGAGCCGGCGCTCATAGCCGCCCCTTTCCAAGAGGTGAGGTGTCCCGTCTCACTCGCACGTTTCACCTGCTGCGCTACCTCTTGGCGTGTGGGAAAGAGGCAACAGTGCACTCTCTGTGGTTGATGTGCACTTATCTTTCACCCCCGCCGGGAATAATGTGAGCAATTATGAGGTAGGTTTCGGAGACGCACTGTCGGAGCTCTCAGAGGGAAAGATCATTGAGGACTAGCCCTTTTAGGCTTAGGCTACAGTGCACACGTAAATTATCCCGTTTGTTTTTGACGACTGACAAGAGTGAAACCGACACGGCCGTTTCCAGCACTGCTGCTGCCTGGGGCGATGGCGCCACCCCGTGGCCATGTGGCGAACCGCCGCAGTCGTGTTCCCGGCTGTCGTCGCGCAAAAGCGCCAGGAACTACTGCGTTCAACATCACTAAAAACCAGAAACTCCGCTGTAATAGCAAAATCGCAGTTAAATATAACAAAAAACAAATACTTTCAACTGGCGCAAAGGGATGTTTTTATTATTGTAACTTTCTCGTTTTTTTTAATAATAAAATAACATACCTATACTGTATATTAACGTTTTTTGTTCTGTAGCTGTATTTGATCCCTCAACAATTTTTTCTGACTCTAACCTCAAGTCGTTTTTAGTTGTCAGCCATGCTTATCTGGCAGCGATGATACCTTATCACTGAACACCCATTCCCCATATTTAGAAGTGATCAGGAATTCTAGTTTCTCTAACTCATTTAAGGCTCAGAGGTTGAATGCTTATCTCTAAAATGCCAAGGAAGCCTATGGATCTGGAGAAATAAGAAATTATTGAAATATACTATTATTATTATATATACACCATACAGTATACATTATTGTCTTAAATGTGTTCACTAGAAATCGTTACCATTGCGTAAGATACACTCTTCAATACTCTATTCAATACTCTTCAATACTCTACAATAGCTTCAATAGCTTCTATCCACAAGCAGTGAGACTGGCGAACACATTTAGCCATCCCCCTCGGACCACACCTACACCATCACCATCTACCTCTCCATGATTTCTTATCTGTTGCACATCTCCAGTCATTGTTTACACGTCTGTATTGTTTACATTCAAACTGTCTGCATGTTTACTTGCACATTGTCTATTGTTTGTTTGTACATTGTCTTGATGCACTGTTTGCACTTTGTCTTGTTTTTTTTACACTTGTTTTACAATCGAGAGACTTTCTTTCTGTAAGTAAGAATTCCATTGTACCAGTACCGGTTACACATGGCAATAAAGTTCAAGTTCAAGTTCAAGTTCACACAACAGGCTTGAAGGAGATGGCATGATAAAAGAAGCCTTTTTACAAGCCAGAGCTGTGACTTCCAGTGAAGTGAAGCAGTGAAGCGCAGAGGCGCTGTGGCCCCGCTCGGGTTTGCAGGAGGAGTGACGGGCTCTGTCGTGGCAGGAGAGCTGGAGGGCCGACGTCTCTTTCGTTGTTGGAGGGAGCGCGGAGGATGAGGAGCACATTAAAGCCCTCGTCATGGCCGCGGGGGTGCCTTTGCGGAAGCTCTTCAGCGTGGTCACCTGGGACGGACTGATGGACAAGGTGAAGTCCCACTTTCACTCTGAAGCTTAAACACCGCTGAAACACGAGAGCTCGTCAAATATCACCTTCTGTCTTTCATAGGTCCACGCCAAAGGATCAGGTCACGTCCACATTTTCATTTGGAATTTGTTTATCCCGCCCAAGTATTTTTTTAATTTGATTCAACCACTGCCAGCATACAGTCTTCTGTGCCCTTTCCAGGACCAAACATCTTGAGAAATGTTTCTGATTTAGAAAGAAAATTGCCGTAGAAATTATAGTGTTTCATACGGGTCCGATTCCAATGTACAGGGCATCTCTGGAACACAAAACTCTGCTCCAGTTGTTCTGACAGATTGCCTTGTCATTAAATGCATATTTGACAATTAGTCAGAATTCACAAAGCAGGCATTTGTCACGAATGCCACAGCAATGTTATGCTGAAAGTACAACGTGCCCATTGTGCTATGTGTTATGCTAATTGGTAAATTGTTTGCTTTTAGTAAATCAAATCTAAAATGTTTTAATGGACCTTATAGATAGAATGAATGGATTTAAAAATGTCTTTAAAAATTCCTTACAGATCAATGAACTAGGAGTCGCAAAGGCAAAGAAACCTAAAGACGTCCCCATGTTTTCGGAGGTAATATTTTATACTCATTTTGAAGTACTTAAACACATTGAAACCTCAGCTGGTTGGATTGATCTTTTCTCAGCCTGAGGCATTGATTTTTTTTTTCCTGTTTGGTACTCAAGTGTGAAATATTGATTTAATAATCAGTCATTTCCCTTTCATTATCTAAAAGCACAAAAGTTACCCATTGTTTTTTTCGGAGGCATTTTATTTTATGCTTTACTGTTGACTGAAAAATAGGCTTGGACTTAGTTATTTTAGCAGCCATTGCTGTATTCTTTTGTAACTCTTTTTTAAAGTCTTTTACCATTTTATATAGGCTTGAAGTTTAAGTTTTCTTTTTGTTTATGTTTTTACTCAAATTCAGTTAATATACACTACACACTTGATCAATAAGGCTGTGAGGAGCCCAAGAATAAATCTGTAGCTCTCAACCATCATTGTGTAACATTACTTTTCAGGTTCAGAAGAATGAAAACATTTGAAAGTGTTGTATAGTTTAGCTGTTGAGCTTCCTATAAATTAATGAGAGTGTGTTTATATAAGCACAATTTCCTGTCTGAATTTGAAAGCACAAAACATGTATTTAAAATTAATCATCCTCATTAAGCTGATTGACCAAGCCCTCATACCCTCAAGCCCTCATAATTTAAAGTTAAAATGCAAAATTTAGTGTTCCATTCTTTAAACAAAGACAAAATTTATCTGGTTTTCATTGTCAAGTCACAGTTATAGCACTTTACTTAAACCCATTTCTTTTTATGGACTGAAACAACCATTTTAATTTTATTTTTAAATTTAGTATCTATCCATGCCATTAGTTTCCAGAGTTGATTGAGAGGAATTTGTGTGCGTGTGAAGGGATTTTTATGATATTGGATAATTCGTAGCACTGTGATTTCACTCGATCCTTTAGGATTGGAAAATTAAATCCAAGCAAACCTCTTACGAAAATCCAAAGCTGGGGATAGTGTTTTAAAATGCCATACAGACTTTGCCATAAGTCATAAACCAATGAGAATATACAGTAGTGCTGGACACCCATCTTCTTACATCAAACTTTTCCTTAGTGTAACTTTTCTGTTCTAATGAAACACAGCTATTAAACACCTCTCCAGATTGCTAAAATGAAAAAAATGCATGTCAAAAACATTTTATTCACACCTACACTAATTTGTAACACTTTTATATATTCCAATTCATGGTTGAAAGCAAAATTGAAAAAAAAAAAAAACAGGGAAAATATTGCACTGAAATTACTCATCGAGAATGAAAGAGAGGGGGGTGAAATTCAAGACTGGGAAAGTGCATTCAGTACAAGAGACTAAAAGAATTAAATAACTTTCTAATGAGTTTTCACAGCAATGGACAAGTTACTGCTCTAGAGGAAACGTGCCAGGTGTCAGTGAGTAGTTGTAAAATCCAGTGCCAACAAGCAGTAAAAAACAGTCATAAAAAAGTCAAGATATGCACATACGGACAGCTGCAGATTTCATGGATTGTATTTCATGCATGTGTGCCTAATGAATAGAAAACACAATAAGAGCAAATAAGTCTATAGTTTCATTTAACTAAAACCTTTATTTCTTTCTGATCAAGTTATGGCTGTTTATTTATGTGGGTTTATTAATCAATACTGGCAGGATCTTTCTGTCCACAGCACAGGGCTCTCCTCTATATAAAAATGGAGATGCAAGCTTTATAATACACTATTAATATAAGGGCCTGTTCCATCAGAAGACTCTTACATTTAGAGTGAATAACAGTCCCCAGCAGGATTCTGCTGTTTGTGAGATTCGTTTTCCTTATAAATATTGAAAGGTGAAACAGGTATTTGATTCGTTTGTTTCCGAGACATTTGAAATAGTGTGATTATAATTGTAAAATGTGGTTGCAGAATTAGTGTTTGTGTATAGTGTTTCCCACTCACGGGGACTCAGTTATTGCCAAGAAACACAGAAGTCTGTTACAGAAGCTATTGGTATGGGCTACAGAAAAGAGATAATGGGCAGGCACCCTTGATGTGCTATTTCAGAAGGGGTTGTGTATTTATAGTCAGTGCAGATCTGGTGTTGAGGAAATACAGCTGAATATCACTTGATAGCTGGAAATCTGAATTAAAATTCAGATTAAAAAGCAACATAAATTAAGAACAAAATAACTTAGACTTCACATTGGTCAACAGCATGGTGCTTTGGTGTAACATCATTATTCCCTCTGTCGTTCAGCTTGGACAACATTTTTTTGTTTTTGTATGAACCTGCTCAAAATAAGACATTGGCTTATTTCTTACTCACCCCATGTTTGAAACTATGTTTAGTTGCACAGGGAAGAAATGGTACCGTATTGTAATTTCAGAGTGTAGAAAAGCATTGTTTGGTTAATAATCAGAAAGTGAGAATTTAAAAAATAATTTATCATAATAAATATTTTGAGGAAAATTAAATAATGCTATTAAAACCTTAGAAAATACATCTGAGACACATGACATTGTTCTTCCAAGGTTACAGAGTCTGCAAAATGCCTCCTGAGTGCAGGGGACGAGCTGCCAGCGCATCTCATTGGAAAGCTCTTGAAGTTCCAGCTGCTTGCTGCAAAACACGCTGACCTACAAAGACGAGCAGCGGAGCAGAAGGCAAGGACTCCAGTTCGACTTCAGCGCTAGCACAAAGCGTTGACCCTGTAGCGGTCACGTACCGCGTTTCAGCAGGCAGGGAACAGGACACCCATTCTTCCCAGTGTTGCGGTCTGTGTAGAAATTCATGACATTCTGGGTCGTAGATGCGTACGGTAGGTAGCCTGAAGAAGCCTCGTAACAACCTTAGAAAAAGTCATTCGGAGTGCAAAATTCCATTTATTATTGAGGCAAGTCGGGTGTAAAATAATTACAGCTGCATAAAACTTTTTGAACTTCTCATAGCAATTCAGTGAATGCAGATGTGCTGTGTTTCGTATACAGTACTTATATGATGTTACACAATACAGAAATATTATTGAATCAGTAAAAAATGAAACACTGCATCTTAATGCTGATGGTTCATGCTCACCACCACAATTCCCTTACAGCTCTCGGGTTCTAGGTTTGATTCCAGATTGGGAATTCTTTGTGGGGATTACTTGTTATCCCTGTATCCATGTGGGCTTTCCCTGGGTGCTCTGGTATCCTCCCTCCTTGCTGGGACATGCTGGTTAGGTTAACTGCCATCTCTGAAATTTTATTACAGTGCAGCACCCATACTAATAGGGTGTGTGTGCCCTACGACGCACTGACGTACAATACCTTCCGGGGTCGAGTCCCACCTTGCATCCCGTGCTGCTAGGATAGATTCTGGGTTTGCATGACCTTAGTGTGACTAATGGGATTTACAGTATGATAGCTTGGCTGTGGGAGTGCATGTCACACTGGAGGTGATTGTTGTACTCTTAAAAACTAAGCAATAGGTCAGTATCAACCACTGATGGAGAGGACCTCTGATGAGGATGATCTGCTCCCGGTAACAAAGCGCTTTTTCTCCCCCCCCCCCCCCAAGGCTGCAGAGGATAAAGCGAAGCCCAAGACAGGAGGCCCCCCAGCGAAGGAGAAAGCGGACAATAAAACCCCCGTGAAAGGCGACAAAGCCAAAAAGGGCCCGGAGCCGCCTCCTCCCGTTAAGGAGACTAAGCTCAAGCGAAGAGGAGAGGAAGACGACACAAATAAATATATTGGTACCAGTCTTCATTTGTACATCACAAAATGATTAATAAATACTAAATTCATATTCCACAAGCAGGGGCCTATAGAGCATCCGTTTACCCTCTCTGCAGCTACGTGTAGTCGTCACAAGGCAAGCAACAAGTTCTACAGAGTTGGGCGCAGTTCCGTTTTTTTATTGATCTGCTAGAAGCTGAATCTCGGAAGGACAGCACGTCTCTGCACACACGGCTGTTCTCCTGACGGTCCCTCTCGGTGCGTCCCTTGTTGTGTTTAGACGATGAACCGGACGACGGCCCAGAGCACTACGTGTTGATCGTGGGTTTCTGCCAGCCTCAGCTGGTGGCCATCCTGGACGAGCTGGGGGTTCACGTCTCCAACGTCATCAAAGTGACCTCGGAGAGCTACGACACCTCAAAGGCTCCCGAGGAGTCACTTGCTCTGCAGGAGTGTGCTCCCCCAGCAGCGGGTAAGGCTCGGTGTGAAATGGCTTTGAATGCCAAAAACATGTGAACCACAGGAGCAGTGCGTGGCTCCTGGGATTGAACCACTTTTAAGCTCACATTTTTACTGCTGACAATATCAGACGTTTGTCAGACATATCTAAATCTTTGCTGACTGCCCTATCTTTCCAAAACGTTGTGCTTCCTTTCTTCCCTTTTCACCAATAGGAATAAACCTATTACTTGTTCCTTTGCAAATCTAAATATACGCGTCTTTTGCCAAATTCCCGAAACCTGCAGACCAATGTCCTCTCACAGCCCCTGACGCCCAGGATCTGAAGAAAAAGAAGGATTTAGAGATGTTCTGGAAGTACCTGGAGCCAATTTTGAACAGTGGGAAACCCCAGTCAAAGCTCTTCGAAGTGGCGAGGCTGCAGTATGTGGTGAAGGATGCCATCTTACCTCAGGACAGGAGCAACAAAGAGATGATGGTTGGTTACTCTGTCCTTGTTTGAAATTGCACCACCTGTACTGTGTATTTCGTAGCAGGCATGCCGCAGGAAGTTATTTTGAAGTTCCCCGGTGATGCCTGATGTGTGTTGCTGGATTCTTTAGTTAACAGACGATGTCCTTTCTTAAAAATTGTGACAAAAAAAATAAAAACGAAGATGCAAGTATAATTTTCCTTTGCATTTCAGCTGGAGTTTGGAACATTGCTGTTTGAGGACATTGCTTGTCTGATCTATGACAGCCTAGACTGGAGGAGACAACACCTCAATTATCTCAATAACATGAAGCTGATCAATGTTCCAGCTGTAGCTAAAGGAAATGGCCAGACAGAGCAAATTTCAGCGGCTGATGTACGTTTTGATTTTTTTAAAATTTCTCACTAGTGTTGCGTTTACTGTGTATTTAGAAAATGTTTTGTGCCAGATTGGTTGTATCAATGTCTGATTGCTCAAGTCATTCAAAACAAAAATACTATTTTTGAAGGTACTATTTTTTTAAAGTATCGGGTGAACTGGGAGTAATGGAAATCAGGTCACATATTAATTAATAAAAATAACATTCTTTTATTAATTTCAGATTGCCATCACAACAGCACAGACACCAACTACAAGAAAGAAGCCGGTACAAGATGAACTGCCACAACCAATACAAGGTATATAATATTAAAAAAAGTAATTGACCATGAAAAGAGGGACAATTTTTATAGTTTTCATTTTTTTATTCTTGAATAAATTCAGAGTTCTTGTTATGTTTACCACTATTACCACAGCTATTTAGCCAGCAGGAAAAGTGAATTATAAATCTAAAACCAAGTAGATGCACTAGGATTATTTCTAAATCACTGCACATTTTCTTGAAAAACACAGATTCCCCTGTGCTCACCACTGACGTGGACATGCGATATTACAATGACCTGCTGGGCTTGATTCCCCCAGAGAGTGTATCTGTGCCTTTAATTCTTCACTGCATGCTTGAACAGGTTGGTCAGTCTGTGCTTATGAGCAAAGATGTTACATGTGAGTTTGTTAAATCCTTTTTTTGTGAATTAACCTGTACTAGCCATTGCTAGTGCCTTATGCCCATAATAAGTTGTGCAGATCCTTGAAATTTAAGCTTACAGTTTTAACTGTGAACCCATTATTGTTCTGAACGAGACGTCCAAAAATAATGAATTATTTATTTTATCATTTAGGTTACTGCAACAGAAAATGATGTCCTTCCTTTATCTGAAAGAGCACCGGAACCACATCCTGATGAACTGGACGATAGTATTGCAAATTGCATGTTATCAACAGTGCTGAGTCTCTCAATTTCAGAAGAGGAGAAAAAGGTACCTCAAAGTAGCATACTTGTAGTCACTCTTACAGATTTTTTTAGCAAAGAAAGTGCTTGCAATTTAAACTAGTCTTCAAAAACTTTGTATTTTCTTTCAAGAGCATAAATATATTTGAGGATCTATTGGTTCTTAAACTCAAAATACGTTTTGTGTAAACATTCACTTAATGCTCTATTCTGGCAAAGAAATGACAACAATGATTCTCAAGACACGTTCATGAGCCGAGGTTTTAAAATAGAAGTGATTTCTCTGGAGATGGACATGATGCCTGAATCCCCATATGTGGAGAGGTGACAAAAAAGTAATGTTACTGGAATCCGACAGATGGTTAAAGTTTCTGAATTCTGTTGCTGTTGTCATTCTAGCCATTGCAGTTTGGCAGAATGAAGATTTCAACGAAACTACCATTATTAAAGTATGTCCTCTTGCAAAATTAGAAAAATATATTTCTCTAATTAGTAAAAAGGGTATCTGCTTATTAAAGAATATATTTTTCTGATGTTAAGTAACCATTAAGATTTTTTTAAAGCAACACATTGCAGTCAGTTTCATGTTTCATTAAATATCTGTTTATTTTTCTAGAAATTATTAAAAGATTTCAATATTCAAGAAAGACATCTAAACCGTAAGAAGCGTGTGCGTCCCTTGCTCCTGAACTGTCATGATGAGCGAGCGCTGAGGCTGCACCACCTGAACGTGAGGGTTTCATTCTTCCTTTCCAGATGTTACAGTCCGTGCCCGTGGTTGATACTTCACACTATACATATCTCTGACTCGGAGAATTTGAAAATAAATAAATATGTACTATATTTGACCTTTTAGATAACTTTTTTTACACCACAAAAAAATGACACTATTTTTGTTCACGTTTCTAGGAGAAAAAAAAACCCATCAAAAATTGTTTCCCATGGTTTTTTTTTTCTTTTTTTTTTGATGTACAGCACATTGCTTTCATGATGTTTTCAAATGTGAATGGGGTGATAAACATCATGTTTCCATTGCATTGACACCAATTTTCCTTCTTTCAGTGTCTCGAGAAACATTTTTACACTTGTGTATTTGTTTTCTCTTTATGCTAAAAATACCAAGACTCATATTGATCATTTCTATGACTTCCCGTACTTCCGGAGGGTGTGGGAAAAATCCTGGTGGAAAGTAGGAGGATTGAACAGGTCATTGCTAAATGGCAGCAGGGGTATAGCACTGTTGGATTAAACCAATGTTGGGTTTGTAAATACGTCATACTGCGTATTTACAGGGTGATGTTTTTAAAGAATGAAAGGCCAAAGGATATCGTATTGTTGCACACAGCTGGATGTCGACTTTATGGGATGTTAAGACATGAGCACAGTGCTCTGCTTCACAATATAACAAGGCAAGAGGTGGTCTGATGTGATGTGACCACAGCTCACTACATTCATCCACCAAGCTTAGCTAGCTAATGTAGGTAGGTTCTGGATAGGAGTTGCACTGCTGTCTCATCCCAGATGTTTCTGGAATGTCAGGGTTTTTTCTGACGTCACTCAGACGAATGCTTCAAAGGAATCATAATTCAGTGTTTGACAGCCCATGTAGTCCCTTCGTGTTTGACACGGGCGTTGTAAAGATGAAATAGACAAGTTACAATGTTGGTCTAAAGTAAGAGTGATGTCCATCGCAGGATGAGGTGCTCGGGGGTCTTATAGCACAGACTGTCGTGAATTTGATCGGTAGATGGCTGTCAGCATGAGATCAGCTCAGTTTTGGAATCACAATACCTTCTGCCATAAGCCACACCTTCAGGTGTGAGCCGGGTCCCTTGCTCCTTATATTCTTGATTCTGAACATTTCAGACCCCTATGGACGCACGCCACCTGCTTATAATCTTACTCATTGAGGCAGATTTGTTTTTCCAAATGTCGATATCATAAATATTTATTGAGACAGAGTACACTGTGTTAAGAAACTCTTAATATCTTTGGTCTCATGACTTCAGACTGTTAGAAAATACTTCTTTCATGGCATTTTTGGGTTGTGAGAACCAGTTTGGGGTACCCAGTTTTGTGACTTCCCCAGCTGGAGAGGGGTTGGGGAAGGACATTCTATTCCAAGTGGTCATTGAGTCAAGTGGAATTGAAGGGTAATCTCCACACAGACAGTATGCTGTACTGCCTGCATGTTGGTGACAACAATAAATAGATGATTTGTGATTTCATAAAACAATCTTATTTCATATGTCTGTTTCTCTCATTTCTGTCACTTTACTTTCAGAGTGATGAAATTTTTGATCCAGTAAAAGCTGAAGAACAAATGTTTAAAAAGATGCCAGCGTCAAAATTCCTTAATGTACCACAGCCTTCTAGTGAAAAGCCGTGGTCGACCAGAATTCAGGAACTCATTTATTTTTGTACGGATGGTAAGGCACCAACACGCATTAAATCTTCAAATGAGAAAAAAAAAACAGTAAAAATAATGCATGTAGACATTTTTGTGTGCCTTATACTTCAAAGCAAACTTTATCCCTGGTTTTCTTGAAGCAAGATTTAAAGATTTAGCGTGAATCTATTAAGAGACTAATAGGTGTGGAAAATACAAATGAAATGTTTTTGTTTCTGCTTAAATCTGGTTTTATTTAATTTGGGAATAGGAGTTTGGAGCCTTAAAGTATGTCATTATGATGCAAAAGACTATAAATATCCTGTTTCCTTCTTCTGCTTGTTAAATGTCAGAGTCCCTGAGCTGGCCAGAAGTTGAAAGAGCCTTCAATCAGTTTGTGTTTGAAGGCATGAAGCTGACAGGGGTGGATGAGCGTGGGTGCCTGGTGGAGACCGGGGTGGGGAATCCAGGGGCGCTGCCCTGGGCTGATCCTGTCTCGTTTGCAAAACAGATGAGAAAACAAATGACAGAGAACAAGGAGATAAAGAGCACAAGAGGTAATGTATTTATCGACATGAAAGAATCATTGAGTCCACGCCCCTTTACTTTAGGAACACCGTCAGTGTCGTCTGATAAACCCCAATTATTCATCTGAGGTGTCATGCATGTCCTGTTATATCAGCCCTCAACCTTCTAATCGAAACAAAATTTTTATTCTTCTCGCATGGAAGTGTTGGCTACTTCATGTGCTGCCGTCCAGTTGTCAGAGCCAGGTGATGCCCTGTGAAGTCACCACACGAATGTTCAGTTGCTTGACTTCAGCTGCTGCAATTGCAACTAGGACTCGGTTTGCGCTGCAGTTAGTAAGAGACTCATGCGCACGTCCTTCTGGTCTGGCTTGGCGCTGTCCTTTTATGTGTGCAAGCTCTAGCTTACAGACTAGTCCTATATGGTTGGTAAGGAGGTCTCGAGAACTTGCTATTAAACTTTCAATTTAAACTTTAAATTTACATCTAGACTCAAAACCTCTCTTTTCAGAAAGGCTTTTATGTAAACAGTGTCTGTATCTGCTCCATATCCCAATGACCCTTTATCTTAATCAACACCCCAGTCTGCTTGTCTTTCTTATACAGTATGTGCTTATTATGCCATCTGTTATCCTTACACTGTAACTGTTTTTTTCTTTTCTTTTTTTTTTTTACACCGGCTGTAAAGAGCTTTGAAATGCTACTTTTAAAGGTGCTATAAAAAAAATTATTTCTTTTTAATTATTGTAAACAAGATGCGTCTCTGGACTCTCTCACGGCGGTGTCCTGGGTTTATGCCATGGTCTTGGTATGTCTTTTGTTCTGCATGAAGGTGTGATCAGAAAAGCAGACAACTTTCCTTTTACCAACTGAAGGAGCAATGCTCACCAGTGTCGGATGTCACATCAATGCCTGCTTTCTATCAAAGTGATCTGTGATGTATTACATCTCAACAGAACATCATAAATGCTAGTAACACTTCATTTGAACGTTGCTGCATAACGGCTTCATAACTCCTTCATAAGTGCTACACAACAGCTTATAATCACATACATAGTGATTCACAGGGACACGTGCAGATGACATGACAGGACGTGAGCATGAGAGGTCCTGACATTTGTGTTACCGTTTGACGTGTGAAGAACCCTAATGTAACTTTAGGAATGACCCTAACTCGTAGCCCTGCAAGAAAAGGTGTTTGATTGATTCAGTCTCATTTCATTTTGCCTGTCAGGCAGTGAAACTCTGGTGCACAGTTCTGAGAGAGAGGGCCGGAAACCCTACTGCAGGTCAGACAGCTATGGTAAGGTCTGCCGTGGCTATGCATGCAGTATGTAACATCTATCTGTCCTGCGAGGGGTGTTTATCAGAAACTACAACTGAGAGAATAAAAAGTCTGTGTCGTCGATGCCAAACAATTAAACATGCACTTATAAGAAACTCATTGGAAAAATACCTATTTAAAAAAAAAACTGTGCAGTCCTTAGACACTTGTCGAAGAATCTGCATTTTATTTATTTTCTTAAAATTGGCAGTGCAGAAAATATTCTCTTAGTTGCATGGTATTTTTTCACCATAAAACAATATTATTGGTATTCTTGCAATATGTTGGGTATCAGCCTATCCATCAAAAAAGGACGTCGGTCACCAATGATATCCATCTGGTTCCTTTTGCAAACCCTGGTTTAATCATTAAAAAGGAAAAAGGAAATCCTTCAATTCCATAAAGCAGTGAGTGATTTTTCATTAGCTATGATTTGTGGTTATACTGAGGTTCGTAAAGTATGATATAAGAGAACTATGATTTACAAATGGGGTACAAGGCCCTTATTTTCCAGGTCAAGGCAACCTGTAGGAGATGGAGAATAGTGCCTAAGACAATTCAAATTGAAATAGAAACATAAAATATAATGTTTTTTGAATGCTTACAAAAGTATTATATGTACTTTGTTTTTCAAGTGCACTTTGGCAACGATGACCCGGAGCCTGAAACATTTCTGAAGAATAAGGTATGTTATTGTATTTGTTTCTCCAAGTATTCCCCATATGTTATTACTTGATAATAGATGGCAAGCACATTTTTATTTGGTCAAAATTAAATATAGCAGTTCCTTAGTTACCTCATTTTTGGCATACCCTTCAATGAGGGAATCTTCCTGTGCTGTAAGAAATACAATCTGTGACAAATGACTTGCAGATACAATGTGCTAACTTTTCTTTTGTACGTGTGGAAAGTTTTTGACATCAATCAAAACAAAACATAACTTTTGATGCATGTAAAAATGAAGAAAGGATGACCTATGTTTACATCTGGAGAGAGTCCTGTTTTCCCAATTATCATTTCAGAATACTATGAAAAGAGGAAAAAAATATTCAAGTATGGGCTTAAATTTCTCCTTTCTTCTCGGTCCTCTTTTCCAGTTTCTGTGCCTTTTTTGAGGTTAACCACTCTTGCTGACGTCCTCTCTCTGCTTGCTAAGTACTGGAATTCTGAAGCCTTGTCATTAAAGCTCACCGTTTTCCTTCTGATCTTTTTCACTTTCCCCACCTTGTTTCATTCGCTCAGCTCCTAGCAGTTAGTCGCTTCCACTCTCCCCGTCTTTGCTCAGGTCGCCTCGGGACTCTGTCGGTCTGTTCCCTTCCCATCCTGTTGTCTTCATTATTCCCCCTCTCTCTCTTCACTCGCGCTGAGCTGAGCTGTGCAGGGCTGAGAGGCAGCAGGAGAAACCACACCTACCCCCTGGCCTGGATCCATAACATCTGCCCTTCTTCCCCACCTTTTCACTCACCTGCCCTCCCAGCACTTCTAGAATTAACACTCAGCTCTTTCTCTCCTCTACAGTATACAGTATATGTCATATTTACTCCCAGTTCAGCTATTTTCTCCTGTTCGCACTTGAAAATCTACCTTTAAAAATCTTTTTTTTCCTACCACATTCCTTGACCGTGCCGTTTTCCCTGATTGTATTATACTCTCTTAATCTCTGTCAAGAACCTCAATCCCTGCCTCTCCCACACAACACATTTGTTCGATAGCATGCTCCTGCTGTAGCTCTCTGAATACTGCACCAGCTCCTCAGTCCTCTGTACCTGCTCAGTTTCCTCCCTTCCAGCCTGTGCTGTCGGCACCACTGTGTGCACATCCCTGCTGTATCTTCTCTCGCCATCATTTATTCTCAGAGTGTGCCTGATCAGGCTGCATCAGTAGCTCTTGTGTTTTCCCTTTCCCTTGAAATCTACTGTATAAGTTGTTATTACCAGAACTGCACTTTTCGACAGTGCCTGCAGTAGATACACTGTAACATATTTTTGGAAGCTTCTGTTCAGCTGTAGCTCTCTAATGAGTGGTTATACATAGCCTGCATCTGTCATTTTCCAGTTGGAAGCCATGTCTTTGTATATTTTAGTTTTCTTTACTGCTTGTGGCAGCATGTAATGTGTCTAAACTTGAGACATATTGTAAAGGCTTTTTCCTGCTGCAACAAAAATGATAATTCAGATAATATTTCTTACAGTGTTTAATGATAATTGAAGGAAAAATTCACTTTAGTTTATATTTATATGTGTTTCTGTTATTTTATAAATATTCTTTATATTTGAGGATTTTTCAGATATGTATTTATCATGCAGATTTTTTTTTTGTTTTCTGTAATTTCTGTAATTCAATGTATTGTAATATTTGCTGTTATTTATTGACGTAGGAATTAGAAGAAAGGTGTCAGTCCATCAGAACCGATATTGAGGAAATCCAAAAGGCTCAGATTCGATCATTGAGAGACTGGTACTTTGCAGAGCACTACGAACCGAATGTGTTTTTACAGGTAACAGGAAAATGTTATTCAATAATTAAGTTAATGATCCTCTGTGTGATTCAGTCTATTCACTATAGATTATTGCATTTACAGTTGCACATCAGGAATTCATAAACGTATAACATATACAACAATAATACTGTACAACACCATAATACAAAACAACTTTTACTGTAACAACTTTGCTCAATCAGAACTCTTTCAATACTATAAGTTAAAAAAAATCTTCTACAGGCAACTCATTTTTTGCTTGTTATAAATCTGTAGGTCTACCATTTCAATATACAGTAACTTTTCATTTTTTCTAAATTGTCTCTGTATTGTATTTGTATGCATCAAGTTAAGATTTAAGCTTGTATCTTATATATATATAACTATAACAGGTACTGTGAAAAGGTTAATTTTCTGACTAACCTTTCAGGTTCTCCAGAATGCTTCCCAAACGTATGGATGCACTGATATGTACCATCGCATGCAGGATAACTCGCTGTTCTTGGTCTTTCACAACCCTATGAACCAGCAGCGGCAGAGCAGGGAGTTCTGGGATATGGCCCTTCACTCGGACGTTGGGTTTAGGTAAAATGGGAAAAAAAGCAACATAGTAACATGCATTTTACCATATAGATTGCACAAAATAGATAAGACATAGTACCTGATGTAATGATTAAGTTAAAGATGTTTTTGTAGCACATCTCTCAGTCAATCTACATGTTTTAAAGTTCTTGTTGTTTGCATAAAGTTTATTTTGTCAGCAGCATTCGGTACAGCAAATTATATTTAAATCAGCACAAAAATAAGCCTCGTCTTCGCAATAGAAACTACCTGGAAAATGTTGCCGACTCGATTTGCGACTGGGTGAGGGAAGAGGAAGTGAAGAGGCGAGCTTCCCTGTGCCTGAGAGCAGCAGACAGCCAGGCGTCACAGCCGCCCGCCGCTGGTGCGGCCAGGTCCAGATCCGCCACGCCGAAGAAGAAGGTCAAACCCCCGTCTCCGAAGAAGACCGGGAGTAAGACGAGAGCCTGTCTCAAAGCTCATTTCTCAATGCAAAACACATCAGACGCGCACAGATATTAAATTACAGAAACCATAAATAAACTAGCAGCTCCACACACTCACCAAGCCCTTGTAACAGTGTCTATGATGGCCTTCCATGCAGAGAAAATATAACTGTTTCTATACATATACTGTATACACACAATATATGTTAATTAAAATTAAATCATGGCTTAAACAATGTATGGACTATGCAGCAAACTGGGTACATCGACCATATCACTTATACTTCTGGTATTATCTCTAAGGGATTTAATTTTTGTGTTCTGTACGTTTCTTTTCTCAATATGACAAAGGATCACCTAGTAGGTCACTAAGCAAAACTGAAAACACTACTGAACCTCAGTCAGCACGGAACCCATACACGCGTGAAGGTTCACTTAAGGTTAGTGTACTGAGAAGGCAATTTCTTACTAACATCAGGGAATATATACATAAGGCTGAAATGTTTGCATAAAGAAGGGTCATTACAGTATGTCTCCCATACTGTACATTGCCTGTTTTAAATTTCTTGTCTGCTTTGTTGCACATTGTACTTAGTTTTAACAAATTACAATATATTCTCATTCATGTGAGGTTGGATTAATACAGATATAGTGTGATGCAAATTGACTAATGGGTTTCCTTTAAAGTGAGGATTTCCTCTGAAGTCAGTTAATCGTTTTCTGCTACTTTTGTGACACTAGTGGCTGCTTGAAGCAAATAAAAGATTGAGTGTTTGAGAAAAGGTTTTCTGTGATCTCAATCGCTGTTAAGGCATGGAAGGAAGAGCAGGAGAGACTGAAAGAGGAGGAGTCTGCAAAGAAAGAGAAGAAAGAAAAGGGGGGAAAGAAGAAAGCGGACAGATCAGAGTCAGCTGACAGCAAAAGAGCCCCGTCTTCTCCCAAGAAATCGTCCCGAGACCGAAGAAAAGAGGAGCCCGTCAAAACCCCCGAGCCTGCTGCAGCTCAAGAGCCCGACACAGCAGCAGACCTGCCTCCCGAAAGGGCCTATAAAGTAAGGGAGGAGAGACATGGCATTGATCGTGGAATAAATCACGTTATACCTTTTCGATTAACTTAATTTCTTCCTGCACAAATGGTCTTGTTTTCTTCAACAAAGCACTTCTTCAGGTTGTACTGTCTGCTTGTGTTTCCAGTTCACGGGCTACAATATGGGTGACAACCTGATTCAGGTTTCCGGACAGGTTCAGTCCCTGTTTCCATCTGACGGGGGACGTATTAGAGTGGAAAGCACACGTTTTGTCCAAGGTAAGGACAATATGCAGGTGTGTATGTTAATTTTGTCATTTATCATTACAGCACCCCTCCCTAAGAAGACTATCAATGAAAGGATAGTTAACCTTAAAGAATAAGCAAGAATTTAGGACTGATTCATTGATTGATTTATTAAGACACCAGTGTCATATAAACAGAAACACTATCCCCGTTTTTTTATCCCCCTTTTTAAAGAAGTGCAGTGTTTTCTGTGTTATTCAGAAGTAATTTCTTTGCTAGTGAAGGACTCTACTGGAATCCCTGCAGTTTCTTCACGATCACATGTACAGTGTTTGCCAAGATGTCAGAGGAAGTAAATCCCTCACACTTATCTAGAATCTGTTGGAAAGGAGGAGCAATATATGCTCACTGGTGGCCAAGCATGCTTTTCAGATAGCTGCACTCACTGCCTCTGTTTACGCTGTTTTCCACAGGTATATCCTTAATAGAGGTGAATGTGATAAAAGACAAACATCACTTTTTCATCCACGTCACTGACCCAAAGAAAGATTTGGAGGATAAACAAAAACCTGAGACGAAAAACGAAGCCGTCTTTGCTCATAAAGAAGGTAAATCAGCTTAAGTATAATATTTGTCAGCTGTGTGAACTTAACAGCTAGGTTCCTGGATATTTGTTTCATGTCTCATTTTTAATTTAAAAGCAAAATATAGTCAATTTCATGTCTCTGTAACACAAACTATAACTTAAATCTAGTGAGTTGTGGTGATTCCGGGTGGGTTAACTGAATTCAGACATATCTAATAAATATTCAATAAAACCGTTTCAAAACATGGTTGTCGGTATGTTTATCTGTGACTGCACTTTTATTACTGCAGAATGCCCAAAACAAAAGAAAAGAGTGAGTAAATTTGGGTCCTTCTCTGCCATGCTTGAAAATGGAATGCATCTCTCCTTCAGCAACTACGGCTCCTCAGGTGGAGGCAGAGGTAAAAAAAGGCAATTGTTCTTCCTAAAATTTGTAACATTTCATGCTGTTTTTTATGGGGAATTTTTTTAAATGTATTTTAAGCTGATACTTGTTCTTCCTCATCTGATCTGACCTTCTTTCACAGCAGAATGTGTAATTATAATTGCACTTCATTGTGGTTCTACCATACAAGGTAGACGGTTTTCAAATATCACTAAAATTAGATTTATTTAAAAAATAAAATATTTGATTACTAGAAACACTGGCTGCTGTGGAATTTGTAACTATTCTCTCTTCTCTGGACATTACACCAGATAAATCTTTTTAGTCTTGAATAGAGAAGACTATTGGGGAACACAATTTTCAAAATCCCCAAAGGAATAAGAATTAAGGTTGATAAAGTCAGGGCCGCGTGGTGGAACAGTGGTCAGCATTACTGCCTCGCAGCACTGGGGTTCTGGGTTCACTTCCGGACCCGGGGGCGAGTATCTGTGTGGAGTTTGTATGTTCTCAACCATGACGGCGTGGGGTTCCTCCGGGCACACCGGTATCCACCCCAGTCCAAGCACATACCGTCCGTTTACGGGCTTCTGGGAGAATTGGCCCTGGTGTGAGTGAGTGTGTGGGTGTGTGTCCGTCCTGAGATGGACTGGCGTCTTGCCCGGGGTGTCCAGGGTGTACCCCAGCTTGCGCCCGTTGCTTGCCGGGATAGACTCCGGCTCCCCTGCGACCCCGGACTAAATGAAGGGGCTTAGAAAACCGATGGATTGATGGACTCCTGCAGGATCAGCAGGGCAGCACAAGCCAAGAGCCCCCCAGCGAGTGGGAAACTGGGGAAAGGGCATTTAAAACGGAGAAGAAGAGACACTTCTTTGCGCTAAGCGTGGTGACAAGCTGCTCAGCAGTGCTGCCACATGGTGCAACTCCTGGCTTCCTTCATGCAACTACTTTCAAAGGCCTTCAGCTCAATTTAGCTACTCGCACCCCAGCGAGCCTCCTCGTTGTCGTAACCTTTCTGTTCTCCTTGTGTTGCTGCTCTGTGCCGTAGATGACAAAGACCCCCAGCTGGAATCGGTGCTGGACATCCCTTCCGTCTCCACACCCTCCCCTGTCCCCTCCACCTCCGTGTCTCCCTCCACCCCGGGGAAAAGAGCCAAGTCCCCCCGGGCCAAGTCTGGGCGCTCGCCCAAAGGCTCTCGGGCCAGAGGGGGCGCTACGCCACCCCTTCCCGTCGAGGACCGCCCGCGGCAGGAGGACACGGCGGACGGGCTGAAACTCGGGGTAGGCAGTCTGAGCTTCCGCCCCGAGGCCATCGCCCGCCGTGATGTCCTGATGTTCGAACCTCAGCTACTCAATTTGCTGGAGTTTTTTTTAAATTTGAATTCTTGCATTAAAACGCGTGGCCAGCGGAGCCTTGTGCAAACCGTACAGATGAGAAATGTGTCCAGCAGTAGAAATGCTGAATGGCACCGATGTACCACTTAGGCATTTGAAAGTGAAGATTATAGAACGTTTTGAGTGCACAGGAATTATTAGTTATAATGTAGTATATACAGTATGTACAAATATCCAGGAGCAGTATTCAGTATTACACTGGTAGCTACCAATGTGAGTTTCTTCACTCTAATTTCCATTAATTTAATTTTCCATTTTTGCAGTGAAATGTTAAATTTTTTTAAAATAGTTCAAACTGAATGAATTAGCCATGGAAGTGGACATACAGTACGGTATTTTAGGTTGGTGGGGACATACTAAAATTCACCACTTTTTGAATATGTTTCTTAGGTCGATGTTGAGCCCCCTGCCACAGAGTCTCTCAGCGGAGAATCTGCAGACCTCCCTCCGTTCCAGCCTCTGAGTGTTTCTGCACCGAATGGGCTGGTAGTGAAGTTCTTTAGTGAAATGTCAGCAGGTACTGTAAATGTGGCAGCACTGTTGTACTGCAGTGAGCACTGGAGTGAAAATCACTAGCTAACCATTGAAGATTTTTCTTACATTGGAAATTATATTGAAGAGAATAGTTTTTCAGAGAATTCACATCCATCATTTTTTTAGTCGAATATATGTACCGGGTCGTAGTGAGCCGGACTGTGACCCGGCACACAATGAGCTCAAGGCATGATACACACCTAACCAGGACGCCAGTCAATCACAGGACACACGCGCAACTTCATTAATAAAATCTGTTCTATCAAAACTATTCCTAAGCTGAAAATGTGTATATCAAATATTAAATTACAATTGCATGTAAAAATCTCTGCCTAATTCCTGAGTCCCACAAAAATGTATCCCAATATTCTTTCCACAAATTTTAGAATTGTGTAGTAATTTAAATAAGAGCAATAATATTCATCATTATAGAATCATATAGCGTTTACATTGTACAGTACAGTAGTTACTGTAATGTGTAATATAAACATCAGAAAACACTCGAGAAGAAAAGGAAACAAGTTAACATGGTGGAATGTCAGGTGGAATGAGTCATGGAAGGAGGTCGCTGGCTGTTTTCAATTCCTTTAATCACTTCCAAATTAATGAGCACTGTTATTGTTTTCCTTCTTCTCTTTGCTTTTCTCACATTCCTTAAAAGTTCACGAAGCCACAGACCCTGTCACTGGAGCAGGTCTCCTTAGTGCCCGAACTACCTGAACCTGGTCTGTTTGGCTGAGCTGTGAATGAGGAAATCTCTCCTGGTGCTGATGCTTCTGCAGTCGACGCCTTTCTGTTTCGCCTTTTCTTTTTTATTCTCTGTACACCTCTGTGGTTCCTGCATTGAGGTCCAATAGTCCTCTGTACCATCTTGAGGAAGACCGGCTCAAAGACCTCGCTAACCATGATCCAGGCACTGTTAAACACTAGTAAACCTGGTAAACACTTGACCTCCTGGATTGTTGGCCATTGTCAATGGTCAAGTAAGATGATAAGATAAAGAAGCTGACAGCTGAGCAAATACTCTATATAAAGCCCATCCTCCTACCCTAAAGAATGGGGTACTGCGAGGTGAAATCAACCACTGTGGTACACATTTCTAATGTCTTATGGTTCTGAGTGATCAATGAACACTAAATTTTGAAATTTCACAGTTTGTTCTATTCCTGTCACTCACTCACGGATGACATATAACATTGAAGAGCACTATGAGCTTGTATGTGTGTATGTGTACTTTTTTTTCTGACACTATCGTTTTAATTTGCTGTAGGTTTAAGAGCAGATTCCCTGCAGGAGTCGCACAAAATCCTAGTGAGACAGAGTTTCCCAATCCCCCACAGTCATCTCTATCGTGACCAAATGAGCGAACTCTCGCTGATCCGAGAAGTGTCAAGAGTCATAACCAGCCAAGGAGCTGTGATCAAGTACATGCGGAACGGTTCTGCTGAGGTACAGCACTTACTTACTACATTATATTAATTTCCCATTCCAGTAGCTCCCGTTTGATGGTGCATGGACAAGATCAGCAATCTCTGTCAACTCTGTGGTTTTGTTCCTTCTCAGGTTCTTTTTGCTGACGGTACTGTGAGCAAAAGCTCCAATTCAGGGCCGATTTATAAACCTCCTCCTGACTCTCCTCCACCCCGTGGTCCCGAAGAAGAAACTCCTGTTAAAAAGGAGTCAAAAGAACAGAAGCCAGAGGTGAAAGAAGTCGCAGATAAGAAAGGTAAGTCAAGGCAAAGAAATTCACAGCAAATCGTGGACAGTCCCTTGTGTATTTCAGTGGATTCATAATGGAATAATATTAATCTGATTGAGATTATGAATGAATATATTGACCATGAACTATTAGAACCAGTTATCTCAAATTTTTATATTCTAGAACGGATTATAGATGTTTTAACTACACGTCGCAACTCCCTTTCGTTTATTCTTTACTCATCAACGTTGGAGAACAGAGCCGGTTTAAAAAAAAGTCGTAAAATTTTAAAATCGTCATCCTGTAGGAAAGCACACCCAGAAGACAAGTACCGCTGCACTTAAGACAGAACTGAACGAGGCCAGTGTTTTGGATCAAAAGGCTGAAGTGGGCTGCAGTGTTGAATCCCCAGAGGAGACTTGGGTGACCACAACACCATCTGGCCTCAGGGTGGCAACCGAAGGAAATCGGAGTATTGAAATGAAGCACGCTCTGGCTTACAAAGCCACAGACCCAGTCACTGGGGCAGTAAGTACATGATCTGCAAACTCTGTATTGGTGTTATTGATGAAATTAAAAACCTGATGAAGTGAAGCGCTAATGTTACAAAACATTATAACAAGAACCGTGGTTATCTGCCAGAGAAAACTGGTCTAGTTCCATGGAGATGTTGCGTAATATACCATTTTATATCCTATCCACTATTCAGTTCTGGCATTTGTGTACATCGAACCAGAACTTTCTGTAGAAATCCAAGGCCCTTTTACACTGTGACTATAAATAATTTGAACTCTACTCTACTTTTCAAATGATTGGCTAAATAAAAGGGCATGTAGGACAGTCATTTTAGCAAAGCACCTGAAACCTGATTGTATACACAAGTGACTTTATTGTCATGACAAGCTGGTCTTTTGCAGGTTATGATAACCCGAGATGATAAAGTAGTCACTGTGTTGGAAAGGGATGGAACTGTCATTGTGGAGCATGCTGATGGGACCAGAATCACCACTCTGGACCAAGATGTTGAAATTCCAGTGACTGACGACCACCAAGAGACAGGCAAGACAAATAATACCACATGGAATGCAATACAGCTGAAGTTAATTCAGTTTAATTCGATTTTTATATTTGGGCAACAGATTCCTGAGTTCATGAGTTTTTAGAAAGTTTCCATTCGTATTATCTCATTTTGTCTTGATGCCATCAATCCTTCCATCACGCTTTGACCAGAGTGTTCAACAAGGCATGGAGACTTTTATTTAGCACGCTAGAGTTATATTTGGGCAAGATGGTATCTTAGACAAATCAAAAAAACTCTGAATTGTTTAAAGCCATTTTAAAGAGTGTTATTTATTTTCCAAACTGACCCTACCCCACTTCTTCATCCCAGGTGAAGATGTACCAACCATCTCTAAAAAAGCAAAACATATTTGGATAGAGTGTCTGGGATTTGCCACTGTGATACTGAACTGTGACGACTGCACAAGCACAGCTGTTTTTGGAGATGGAACTAAAATAACAGCTCACCCTCAAGGATCTTACAAGGTGAAACTTTACAAGTACTAAATGCCCGGTTAATACAGTATATTGATGTAGGGTGGAAGAATGTAGGGACTAATTCGAATGGATGCCTTTTCAGATTAAATTGCAACCAAGTAATAGAAACAGGACATTTTTCCTTTTTATTAAACATTTTATTTATTATGAGCGTGTACTGTATATGCAGCATGTGTTTCAGTCTCTCACATTAAAAGATTTGCATTCGATTTTTGCTGACGATTTCTGAAACTAAAACTTTGGTCCTGAATTAAAATTGAGATTTTCTGTTTCAGTTAAACAAAAATTAGGTAGTTGTCCCTAGTTTAATTTCTAGTTAGCTTTCTACTATATACAGTAGGCTACCGTAGTACAGTATACTGGATTCATGCCTGATTACTTATTAGAAAGCCATTTTTTTAAACAGTACATACTGTAAAAGAATATTGTTTAATTGTAATTCTAAACATTTATACTCTCCACAAACAAAAAATGTTGCTATGCCAAGGTTAAAGGTTGAGCACATTCAGGCACCATGTACGTCTTCTAAATCCATTCGCTAGATGGATTATTAATATTCCTGAACATGAATATACAGTATGTGAGGTTTAACTGAAGTTGGATTAGCTGGATCATTTACATTTTTTCCATCTTGCTGCAAGTAAAATGTGATTTTTCATTTTCAATGAGATCTTGAAAGCAGAATTTGCGCAAGTGCAGTTACTGTATCTGAAGTAATAGTTTTAAATGGTGTCAAAACTGAAATAAGAACAAATATATTCTACATCATCCTCTCTGTTGTCAGTGTTCTCCCCTTAAAATAAATAATTGCCTTGAGGTTTTTAATATGAACTTTTATTCACTTAGGGTTAGGGTTGTTTGTTTGCCTACATCTGCTATATACAGTAGGATCTCCTGCAGGAAAAATGAAAGATACTGTACTTATGTATTTGATAGTGAAACACATGGTTCTCTCTTCAGGTCTTACCATCAAGCACAGGGTGTCTCAGCATTTACCCAGATGGCCAGGCAGTGTACAGCTCCAAACCAGATTGTGATGTAACACTGGCCCCTATTGGTACCAACTTGGAACTGCAATCTGGAAGCTACATCATGCGACACACCACAGATGTTATCTGTGAGGTTATGGATCCAGAGGGAAACCTCTTTCAGGTACATAGTAAAAATCATTTTCTGTTTAATATTCATTTAATTTCTAATTCAGTCGTCAGACTTGCTTGCAGAATGCCAGCAGCCATATCACCCAGCAACTCACAACTGGCAACCCACTGAAGCTCAGCAGGTGTGAGCCTGGTCAGTACCTGGAGGGGAGACCTCCTGGGAAAAAAGTTTGCTGCTGGAAGAGGTGTTAGTGGGGCCAGTAGGGGGCGCTCACCCTGTGGTCTGTGTGGGTCCTAATGCCCCAGTATAGTGACTTGGACGGTGTACTGTAAAAAGGAAGGCTTTCAGGTGAGATGTAAAACTGAGGTCCTGACTCTCTGTGGTCATTAAAAATCCCAGGGCTTTTCTCGAAAAAATTAGGGGTGTTACCCCAGTGTCCTGGCCACATTTCTCAATGGCTTAACCAGTTGTGGCCTCCTAATAATCCCCATCACTCTGCTCTCCTCCCCACTGAGAGCTGGTGTGTGGGGAGTGGACTGGCGCATCATCCAGGTGGGGCAGCAAACTGGTGGTGGTGGAGGGGATCCCCATTACCTGTAAAGCACTTTGATTGGAGCGTCTATAATGGTCTATAATGTATAAGTGTAAGGAATTATTATTAATACAGGATATTTGATCATGCAAATGCAGCAGGTACTTAGGAGACCTTGTGAACCTTTCTTACACTGAGCTGTTTCCAGTCCAGTGTGACGACTTACAAGGCGCACAGTGCATTTTCTGTTCCGTCACTCACATAAGGCAAGGAAACAATGTTGCTCACGATCTGTATGTTTGTACTGTAGGTGATGGTAGATGGACAAACCTCAACTGTCATCTCCAGCACAGAAGATGGCACAGAGGAAGAGGAGGGTCCAGAGTCTTCGGAGCCCAGGCAGGATTGCAAACAACACTCACCAAGGTAAAATGTCACTTTATTGTTACTTACAAGTAATATATTGTCGTGTCATCTTTAATATGTCAGTTGTCAGCCAGACTCATGTTAGGCTTTGTGTATAAAATGTGCACTCCGTTTGTCTGCAGCATATTTTGTTTGTTTTCCTGTCCCCAGCCACACCGAATGATCCTTAAGCCTGTTTGTAGGTTTTTTTTTCCTTCTGCACTTTAATAAGTCGTAGAGCCTTCAATCGTGACAGATTCTTCATTGCTCATGCCGACGGCTCCGGAACAGAGCTGCTGCGCTCCCGAGACGTGGAGGCCGCTCTGTCCGAAGCCTACAGCGACCCTTCGACCGCAGTGCTGAAGGAGCCCCTGTCTGAACTCGCAGGTACAGCACGCGCCTTTTTCACATTAAACATCTCCTCCCCTTCCAAGACAACGTGATGCGTTTAAGACTAAAAAGTTATTTTTTTTTTCTTCCCTGCAGGGGTCCTCGGATTGACGATCCTCCGGCCAGGCCCAGAGGGCGCGTGGTCCCGATGGCTCGTCCGGAGTGAAGGAGACATTGTCCCTCCCAACCTTAAGTCTAGGAAATGGAACGATTTCCCTTCCAGAGAGGTAAAGAACGTAATGAAGTTCAAAGAAAGTAGATACCGTAAGCGATCAAGTATGGAAAAGAAGAAATAAAGCATCTGGATGGTGCATTGCTCAATATACATTTATCTGGTCTCCTGAGACGTTTGCAGAATTCAGGGATTTTAAAAAATTCAGTGTGTGAGGTTTAGTAAGAAAATGTAGGTGAATGCCCAAACGATGTAGTGTTAACCTGAAAACATAAATGCTCCTACAATGGCCAGCGATAGACTAAGAACATGACACCAGGGATTTAAAAAAAGAATCTCCAGCTGTGACTTTGTGGGTGCCAGGGGGCAGGGAGAGGCTCTCTCACACTAGATTCGTCTCAGGCCTAGTTAATGTTAATGTTAATGTTGCTTTATTAGCCCTATACAATTTCTTGCATTAGGAATTCGTCTTTTCGCATACCCCAGCTTTTCTCCATGAGACACAGACACACAGACAGGGGGAGAAGCTTGGGGTCTGAGCACAGGGTCAGCCATTCCGCCAATTCAACAGTGGCACTTAACCTTCAGCTCGGCTGCTTCCAGCTCTGCTCTTCTTCCATACAAGACACCATCAGCCAGGCAGAATAGTGAATAAACAAATTTGCCAATGTCGAAACCCCGCTTCACTTTGTTACGTTATGTAACATTGCCTTTAACTTTTAATTTCTTTAAAATTTACAATCCCATTATTCCGAGATAAAAATGATTGTTTTCAGTCATACACTGTGCCATTTTTAGTTTTCGTCCTCTACAGTATTTTGCATAAGGTAGCGTTTATAAGTTATTTATGAAGTTTTTATGAAGTATTTGTAGGTTATAGCAAAGTGAATGAAATAATTAATATTTTTGTGGGGGAATATCTTGTTTTAGAAGAAGAAGTCTGGACCTCCCTTCGGGACCTCTCTTGGGAAGGGGCTGTACTTGAACGAAATATCAGTGTCTGCTCCTTCTGCGCCTGTATTTAAGTGTCCTGAGGTGATTGAAATTCGCCACCTTATCCAGTATGACCCCATGAGCAGCACCCTGAGGAGGAAGATGGAACTGCGATTAAAGGTACTTATTTCAGCCAGTGTGAATGCACAAATAGACCATAAGTCGTCGAGGTCTCTCATCAATTATCAAAAGGTAGCCAGGTCTTTGCTGTTAAAACTCTTACTTTAATCTACCATCTGTGAAGGTAAGTCAGTAAACATTGAATTTTGCCGTCTGTAATACAGCATGTGTGCAATCCTGGGGACAAGAAAAAAAGTATTAAAAATTCTCAAAAGCATAGTCATAGTTACGTTTTCACCATGCTGCCACCAGAAGGCACCCAAAGCTGTCTGCAATACGAAGCCCAAGTAGACGTCAGTAGGCTTTGAAGTAGACCTGGTTGCCTGGTGTCACAGTACAAAACACAGGAGAAGAAACCGGAGAGCGAATGCAATGGAAACACCCATCATCACCAAAAACATTCATGTTGTGTCAAAGTGGAAGGGATGACGACAGTATCCTACTTGCACATTGTCTATTGTTTGTTTGTACATT